TTTTTTTTTTTTTTTTTTTTTGTTTAGATTTCCATTGAGAGTGTGAGAACAGGAGTTTGAGAAGGCATTTCTAGTTCAATTTTCCGAGAAGTCCTCTGGTCTGATGAGTTCCAGGTGAAGTTTTTCAGAGAAGGCAATGGAAACTTCAAGTGGGGAAAAGCTGCTTCTAAAGCGGCAGTTCCTGAGGTTCTGTCTGCCTTGGGATTAAAAACGCGAGAGGGGAGGGGAGCTGTGGTCTTATGAGTGCAGTGTCCAAGGGGAATCCCTCTGATCCACGGCTACTGACCCCCGAGCATCCAAAGACCCTCAGGCAGAGAACTCCTCACTGATACAACAGTCCAGCTGAAACAACACGAAACAGGTTTTCTACGATAGCCGGCCCACAAAAGCTGCTATGACACGGAACAGGCCCACCTGGGCTGAAAGTAAATAGCCAGCTGTAGGGGTTATTGCATTTAATCCATGCCAGTAGCTGCTGCATATCCAGCTAATCCAGGCTGTCCCGAGGGTCAAATATGCAGCGGGTAAACCTGCAGAAATTATTTTTACTAACGGGTAAAATATTTCATTGTTGCTCAAATTTAGAAAACATTTCGTGAAACCATTTATTGTTGCATCCAAATAAATCCCACCCTAATCTCGACACAGACAGAAAACTGCGTCCACGTTTTTGCCAAGACAATGACGAAGGAGTAAACCCAAACAGCATCATGGAACAGTCCCCCAATCACTTCCAAGGACATTTTTTCATCTTAATACAGCAAGAATTTATATTCAAAGTACATATTATTGATAATGATATGTCCTGCCTGGCGGGCATGGTAACTTTTGGGCAACCAAGACATTTTCCCTTTTTTTAAAGTAACTCTTTTCATACGAACCACAAACTAACACTTTACTTTTCTAAAAGACAACATGTGGCTTATGTAACTTGTAAAAAAACCACTCAGTGATGCCTTATGTAATGCTACGATATCTGCCAAAAAGCAGACGCTTCGAGAATAAGATGGAAGATAGGGCTCACACTGCTAATTGATGCCAAGTCAAGCAAATTCTTTACTCTGTGGGTTCGGTCTGAGTGTCACTCAGTCTGCGGGTGAAGCGATGAAATGTCTCTGTCTCTATCCGTTCAAAACGGTTGAGGTTTATTGTAAGTTATGATCAAATTATGGAGGATAACATTCTTTTATGAAGTAGATTTGATGAGGAGGTATAGGTCATATGGGCAACTTTTTCCTTTAAAAGCGTTGGTTTTTCAATTGAAAATGTTGAAAGTGACCATTCGTGTTTGAGAAATCTGATTGTTTTACTATATAAGAACAAAAAGTCTAAAACACTGGTGTCAATCTATTAAATGAAGGAATTTATCAGTTAGATACTGATGTTAAAATCACTACAACGTTTTCTTAGTTTCCCTTTTAAGTATTGACTTTTATGATCTATTGTTTGACGATTGTTATGTCTTGATTAAAATAGGTTCAGTTACATGCCCGAAACATTATCACAACACATAAGAAACCATTTATAAATCATTACATGAGAATTGTTGTTCAGAGTGACCTGCGATGCAGCCGTAGGCCTGTAGTGGGCGCACCAGGCACTGAAGAACCGTGTAGGTATAAAAGACCGGAACTTCCGGTTTGCTTTAGCGTTGCTGTTGCCGACTCCAGCCAGGAGGAATAAACAGTTCGCTCGTGCCAGATCTGGTGTTGTATGGTCTAATCTCTTCACACTTCAATTTATTCAACATTTATGTGTTTTCGTCTCGACTTCAGTTAATGAACACTAAATTTTCTTACATAACTTTGCTAAATTTCAAGCAAAATGTATAATTGAGTCACGTAAAGGTTCTGACCTTGTTCTGTGTGATGCAGTGGATGGACCTGCTGTGGGCATCAGGCAACACCGAGGCAACCGTGCCTTTGTTCATGTCCAGAACTTGAATGGAGCGATCTGAACCACACACCAGGATGATGTCTAATAACGTTGTTAAAAAAAAGTCATGACTTATTAGAAAGTGTTTAGTCTGATTATAGACACATGTAAATAAGTACACTTTTTCATATAGTGTAGTTCTCGACTAGACCAAACTTATTCTAAATTACTGTTCAGTAGATTTACTTGAGTTGGTAAATGCATTGTAAACCTAAACACAGGTTTGGAATGCAGACATTCCTAACAAAAAAAGACACCTAAATGCTTAGTAGAAACCTTTAGGCTAAGCGTTAAGACTTAATGAGACTATTGTGGTTTACATGGAAGTTGTCTAAGTAGATGCTTGCAGCAAAAGGGATGGGTTGACTCTGTCAGCATCAGTGTGGTCTGAACTGCACCTCTTCCTGCTGCAGGAAGTCCAACAAACAAGGATACAGGAGAGAAAGTCGTTGGTCGCAGATAGAGCGGTGATGTCTGCTGACGTTGTTACACAGCTCGCCCGTTTGACGACACTCCGCTGCTTATACCTAGAGGAAAAACAGTTTAAGACTTGCCAGATTTTAAACCAATAAGCACACAAACTAAAACATTAACACAATCACTTATTTACACGTTCGTAAATACAACAGGATACATTGTGAAAACCCATTTTTGTCATTGTTTTTTTCTCAATTTCAGCAGCTCCGCTCACAAACTAACATGGACCAGAAGATAAACAGTGATAGGCGAAGTTCCACTGTTAAAACAGGAAGCAGATGCCCGATGTTTGGAGTTGTTTTGCCACCAGAACGTGCCCCAACAGCCTGCAGGGCACGTTTGAGCAGTTTGCGTGTTAATGAGTGTCAGCAGTGTCTGCAGTAGCAGCTAAAAGAAGCCAGGCTTCTGTTAGTAATAAAGTCTGCTTCCTAAATAGGTTACATAAGTGTTAAAACCCATAAATATATCATCTTCTGTCTTCTAGAACATTTGTCCTTCTTGCAGTGATTAACTATAGAAGGAAGGTTGCTTCTGACTGGTGAGAAGTTTTGGAGAAAGCACAAGCTTGATCCTTGAATATGGCTATGATAATTATGAATAGCTGACTTAAAAAAGGAAGAATTTTYAAACTCTTCCTATTGTTCAGTGGATGTTTAGCTGCAGTTACCTTTTGATGTCGTCACGAGTGATGTCCACATTATACAGGTACAAATAAACTGAAGGTCCAGAGGCCAGAAGAAGAAATTTGTCAAGGTAATAGAACTGAGCACCTTTGATGGGTTTGGAAAACATATGCTCACCCTAATGAAGAGAAAGTAGAAACAAAAAACAAACCGATACATTTTCATTATTGTAAAATTTAAGATTTTTTTATTTAAAAACAAGATATGGAAATTTAGCTCAATCAACAACATTTCTAAGGAAACAGAGAAGCTATGGATATTTTTTTCCTAAATAGTAGATAAGGATGCATAAGATATTTAGAACAAAATCCCCTGAACACATATTTTCTGAAAAACCTACAAAACTGAAGTTTTAGTTAATTGTCAAACCAACAAAAACATTGTGACTCTGTACACCTACATGATTAATATTGAGTAAAAACTCCACAAGCCCCTCTTTCACCCCTTTTCTGGGGTGTGTCTCAGATCAACTCGTTTTGAGGCTGTCTCTTTAAATCCAAACAAGCCCCTCCCCCCAGCTTCCAAAGCGSTTCATTCTAGTGTGATGGAGGGATTTACGACTATAAAGCACAGAAAATTTTTGTTACAAATTCATTAAAAGGTGTCAACAAGGGAAGGCTTGTCCCTCCAGCCTTACATGTTGGAGTCAGAGTTTGACCCAGAACCAGAGGAGAATGAAGACCACCAAATTGCAGTTGGTCAGTCCAGACCTTATTTGGCAGTTCAGCTGCAAATTCCTTGATGTAATAGTTCAGTAAGTGTTATAGAAAATAATAAAAAACTGAACTGGTTGAAAATATGACCCAAAAAGAAAATAAAGATAGACCAAAATAGATTTTTCTGCAATAGAGACTCCAAGRACACAATCAAAGTTGTATCAAAGTTGGGTTTGGTACTCTTCTGTATCCAAGAATACAGAATACTAATTCACAAACTATTTGAGATGTGAAAACTTATAATAGCATCTAAATTATGTGGTCATTTAGGAACATTTTTTGGCGCATAATCAACATAGCTATGTGGCTATATGATGGTTTGTTTGGTTAGTACATCATTTATTTGTGTGGTTTAGTAAAGCTTCTTTGCTTGAACTGGTAATGAGGTCACCTCTGTTACCATTATTTTGTGGGTCAGAAGCTAAAAAGTTTGGAAACAGCTGCATTGAAACCTCATGGATGTGACATAAACCACACTCGAGTGCCAAAACAGCGAGGTCAACATTCTTTCAGAACAAAGCCATATTGAAAAATGATATAACTTCAAAGCCCATTGTGACATTTTAAATACATTTTTTTAATCTTTTACAAAATGAGGTCACTCGGGCTTTTCCTTATTTTTCTGTGATTACAGTTAATAAAATACATAAATGGGATAAAGTTTTCCTAGAGCTCAAAGTAGGGCATGTAGCAAAAAGAGATGATACTCTGAAAGCCTGACAGTGATGCCAAAAACATGTGCAGATGCAGAGGGGTTATTACCACGATAATAGCGGGCTCTGAGCTGTCGTTGGTCCAGACTCGCATTGACAGATCTTCTGATGCACTCAACCACCACTGTCTGCTGAGGCTCCAGCTCACGCTGCTCACTGGTTTGTCGTGACCTAAATTTCAAAGACAGAAACGTCAAATGAACCTGGAAATGCGGGGAGCAGTCACAACATTTACTTTTATGGTATTGCTCAGGCAGCCGGGCAGAATGAASAGGGGAATCTAGACGTCCCCTCAGCTCCTGTTCTCTGTCTCTGCTGCCTTCTTGTGGACATTCGTTTTCAGTTAGAAATAGGCCATAAAGTGCAAAACTAAAGCTTTCCAGCATAAACCTCTTGCCTTTGCAGTTTTCACTGCCTTGAATAAGGAAAACTATTAGACAAAAGCACCGAAATGACTGAAGGTAAATCTAAAACACAGCAGAGGATTATATAGATACTCAGGTCGCACCTATGTAGACAGTCGGACTACCAGTGAGAGATGACTTGTACAGTAACACGGAGCTGTCGCCAAGACCACACAGGATTTGTTTTCCGTCACCTGGGAGGTACGAGGAGAGATAGAATTGTTTTATTAGGTTCTTTTTTTTCAGTCGGATTTATTACAACCAAAAGCAGGATGGCAGTTTAAACATCACAGTGAAGTGTTTTGTTTTGATAGAAAACCTTTGTTTCAAGGTCAACTAGATGAGTCACTTGGTTACATTATCTCTTTCATTTAACACAACAGTAGTGAATTGCATTTCAGTACCTTTTGTTTTGCCAGAGTTTTTGATTCTGTTCGGCGGTCGGCGAAGACATTGAAACAAGTCATCGAAATGGACTCACCTGAGTACTGAAGGCAGGAGACTTGTTTGTTGGCAATGCTAAGATCGGCACATGGAGAAGTCGGTGCTGCACAGTCTGCTGGGTAGTTGCTGTGGAGAAAACCTCTAAATGACAAAAAAAGACATTAGTTGTTCATTTAGCACAACATACTACAACGCCTTTCTTAATGCTGACAGCAATGACAGTAAAATCCATCCAGCCATTTTCTTCACCCACTTTTTCTTTCCAAATCAATGGAGCTGGTGCTAATCTCCAGCAATCACTGTGACTGGTGGGGTCCATCACAGGGACACATAGGAAAAAACAAGACACACAACAAACATGCTCACCTAGCCTGGCCCTTGCCTTCCTACACAGTTCAGCTCAGTTCTAGTTTCCCTTCACTGTTCTGTCTGGGATTTCTCCCATAGACGAGGATTTCTCAGGTAGAATTTCAACCGGGCCAATCAGCAAACAGAAGGAGTTGTGAACAATGACATTGATTTTCTGCACCCTTTGAAGTGCCTGTGACTCAAATTTTTTGTAACACATATGAATGCATTTTTGAAAAGATGTCATTGATAAAACATTGCAAAATAAATTTCATGTCGTTGAGATGAACAGTTGTTGAGATCTTTGCCTGTAAAGTAACAGGAAGTGATGTCAAATGGGAAGGTCTGAATGTGAACAGAGCAGTGCCACAACAGCCAACAACGCAGACTGTAGAGAAAAATTTGATGTTTCTTAAGATTATTTTGAGTCACTATAGAGAGATGAAGAAGAGTCAGGGTATTGTTTCAATAAACAAAGACCAGAGAGTTTTCTTTGTCAAAGAGTTCCCCTTTGATGTCACTTCCTGTTTCATTTTGGCTGAGTCAAGTTCAAAAGACAATATGCCAGTTAAGGGATAAAATGGGTAAAATTGTGCGTATTGTTCCAACTTTTTTTAAATATAAAGATGTTTTCTTTGTCTTTTTGTATTTGAAGAATATGCGTGTCGCAGGCACTTTAAATCTGCCTGTAGTTTAGCAATGTCAGCATAGGAAGTGAGTGAAGCCAGTCCATGTTGACAAAGCTTCCAAATTAAATTAAATTAGTCTGACAAAGCCTGCAAGCATTCATTTACCGTCATCTCGTTCAGCTCCATACTTCTCTCTTCCCTGAAGCCGATGGTTGTTTAGCTTAGCATCCTTCACAGTTGAGCTAGCGCACTACATACGCCACGACCAAATGTTAGCAATTGGGTAAATCAGATCCGATCGTTTTAAACTTCAACAGAGTCCACGTCTCCAGCAAAAAAAAAAATTCTCGATGTTGAGACCCTCTGTGCGAAGCAAAGCAAAGTACATGGGGCTGGTTTTTTACCGGGCTAACTCTCACCCACACCCAGGAAAATTTAGTTACCAATAAATGTGGGACCTGTCCAGAGAGTACCCTGCCTCTCGCACGGTGACTGTCAGACAAAGGCACGACCGCTACACAACCAGGAAAGGAGAAGCGGGTAAAGAACATGGATGGATGAATGTATTTGGTCTGTGAGGAAACAGGAGCACCCAGAGGAATTTAGGGAAAGGTCAGGAGGGCAATCCTTTAACCTTCTCTCTGAAGGCAACAGCTAGTACTGCACCACCCGAAATTCACTACTTACGTATTTTTGGTTGTCTTTTTCAAGGGAGCTGTCTTCTGAGAATTTGTATTTGGTGAAAACATTTTTGTTCTGCAAGATAAAAATATATAAAAAAACAATGTCTTTAAACTATATTTGAACTGTAATCATTTCAGTATTATCTTTTTTAAATTTTTGAGTTAAATGACAGACAGCAGGTCATGGGTTATTGCAGTGCTCAATCTACTGAGGCAGCTGCCTTTGAATGGAAAAACATTTCAAATACACCATTGGGCAAATTAGGTTAAATTCATTCTCTCTCTCTCCTCAACAGGATCATTCTCTCTGTACTGAATGTTTGYACAATTCATTTCATTTCTATTTAATTTTCTAGCAAAATATCCCTGTAGCATATAATACCTTGGGGCGCTGCTGTATCCAGACGACTTCACTTTTGAATGAAAAACCAGAGGTTTTTCTTTTACACCTTCAGCATAACAAAAAAAAAACATGTTCAGAAAATCTCATTAGTAATTTGTTAAAAGTTAATGCAGTCAAGTTTGAGCTTAATAAAAAGAAACATTTGCTCTAAACACACATGGATTAAGACTTTGTGTTTTTTGTTTCTTTTTAAATCGTCAGAGAATCATCAATCAAGTAAAAAGGAAAACCTAAAAAAAAAATCTCAGAGAGCAGGGGAAGAATACTGTTGGATGTGTGCGTTTCTTGAAATCTCAGGTAGCATTTCTTAAAAATTGTGTTGCCCTTGTGAGCAATATAGCTCCAAGGGTTTTAAGATACCTTGGAAAACCATTATCACTCCCGACCCAGTGCTTCTGAGTTTGTCACTGCCACTGAAGCTGGATTATGCAAGAAGAGGTCATGTATCATCTTATTCTGGCACAAGTTCATCGCGGATTAAATTAAAGCCTGCGGACTTAAAAACTGTGTTATCAGATGTGTCCAAGTTTCAGCTCGCTTTAAGATAAAGAGACGTTAGATTTCAGGTTGTTGCAAACAAAAAGTGCAACATCTGAAAGTGTATGCAACGGAAAAGGAGTCCACTTTTTGTGTGCATGAGAAGCTGGGGATCTTGGAACTGTGGAGAAACATATGTTGTCTCCAGGAGTTTTGTGGTTATTTCAGTAGAGTAAAGCCAGATACCATTCTGCACAATTTCCATTTTCTTAGACACGGGGGGTGTGCTTGAAAAGTAGTTCTGTCTCTGAAAACCTACAGCTCACCGTGAAAAGAAGAACAAGAAAACAAACTACTGAGCAGTTAATTATGTTTTCAGCAAGAATATTCAATTTGTTCCTTTTAATTGTTTACAAATGAATATCTAAAATGAGGTATTCTTCTGTAATATTCCCATATGTTGGTCAAAGCTACACGCTTCTGAGGTTTGACTTCCGAAAATTGTCAGCTTGCAAAACAAAAGTGTTTTAGTGTGTCTCATTGTAACTTTTTACAGGAGCAATGTTTTTGAGCTGTGCTACAAAAAGTAATTTAGGACCCCTGGATGATCTCACCTCACTAAAAGCGCTGCTAAATGAACCACAAAACAGTGGGATGTTTTGCTTTTCTCATCATTCGCTGTCAGTGTCTTTTCTATTATAAAAAGCTCACGTTCTCCAAAGCTTTTAAAATACTTTGCCAGAAAAATAAAAGTTTTTTTCTCTCATACACATATACCAAAACAAGTTGCAGAATTAAGACATTTAGTTTAATTAAAACCACCCTGCCAAAATAAAAAAAAGAATAGATCTAAATCTGTTCTGTATAGTGACAAAGCTCCAAAATATTGACAGCAGCATTTACCTATAATTTATACAAGATTTCTATTAAACAGTTACTCAGCTTTTGCTTTTGTAAATGCATTATGGCCTCAAAAGTTAAGTTAAATTTAGTATTTTGCTTCATTTCAATGTGTTGTTTAAAGCTGGTCTCTGAAAGAACGACGGCTTTTGAAAGAACTGTATGTAAAAAAAGAAAGAAGTTGTTGTTTAGGCTAAATATCTAATTACTTGGCAGTATTCGCTTGGAATTTCTTACCAACCCAATCAACATCCTGCCGATATAAAATGGTTGTTTAGTTTTATTGGGCTGTGAAACTTATAATTTATGCTGACTTTACYTTAGGCAATATTGGAAGCACAGTAAGCGTCTTGGTCAAATTTCCACACGGTCACATCTGCTTAAAATCACAGCAAGTCACTAAGAAAATCTCATTGCAACCACCATGTAAGACCAACAGCACTATACGTGGTAAGGACAGTCTGACCAGACCACCCGCTTTAGATGTTATCATCCATTAAATGGACGTTATTAGTCGTTATCAGTCCCATAGAAAGGCTTCAGACTGGTTTCAGACTGTCCCAACTGTGCCGCCTAGTGGGTTCTCGGTCCCATAGAATGGCTTCAGACTGTCAGCTGGTTAATATGAGGCATAAAGCCACTAAGYTTAATTTTAGAGAAAATGACATGGGTTACGATAAAGTAGACCGGACTCGAGCGGTTGCAGATTGCTGCATTCCAACCTACATGGCACTGGTAACCCACTAGGGGGCACTGTCGGGACAGTCTAAAGTCATTCTATGGGACTGATAACCTGCTAGACGGCACAGTCGGGACAGTATGAAGCCATTCAGTGGGACTGATAGCCGCTAATAACGTCTGCGGTGGAACTAATACTTTTATGTTTAAGCAAGTAATTCATGACATCCTHTAATGACCTAGGTTTTCATGACYTHCTGTTCATCTGCAGATAGAATGATTAAAGTCAGAACAAGATTTGCTAACAACAGTCATTCTTAGATATCACTTGTGTTTATCTTTGTGTTTTCCCTTGACCTTGTATCAAATCTTGCTAAGATGACAGAATGGTGTTTGTTAATACATATATGAGGCCTCTCGAGACACAGTGAACAGTGTGGAGAGACAGTGACAGAGAGAAGCAGAGGCACAGAGACAGGCCAGGTTGTCTGTGTTCCAGTTGTTGCAATAAAACTCAGCTGATCATCTCACGGAGTACCTTCATTATTGGACCACGTATTTCTGTCATTGTTAAATAAATATATTCATAACAATGTCCATTTAATGGACTGATAACATCCGAACCGGCTGGACCAGACAACAAGAGGAGAAAGTGAGAATAAAGGTTTGAAGGTAGCTGAAAACTACCAGAGCCCAAAGGACATGTCTAATTTACAGCTTGAGTTAGCGTGAGTTCAATGTCTGTATTTTTAAACACTAACTAATCTTGTAATTTAGATTCTGCTAAATAAATTAAAAAAAACATTCAAGTTGTGTCACTATGCAGCAGTGCTCAGTAACATATTATATATCATACAAATGTAACAGCAGAGTATTACTGTTATCGTTAAAAAAGGCAACAGTTTCCAAACCTGCACTCCTTCAGCCTCATGCCAGACTTCCAAAGGTGGAACTTTTTTTTTTTTCCTTTCTAGGAGCCTCTGGGGTTTATGGTGTAATTTGTCTACAGTTCTGCAAATATCTTTAAGAATACAGAGGTGCATGGGGGAGCACGGTAGGCTAGCCTGTAAATGTTTGTGGTTTTTTGCTCTGATGCTACAGTCACAGAGCACTCCTCAGTTACGCAGAAGATCCACTACATAGTCTGGCACGGACAAATCCCTTTACTCCACCTGTGGGGAGTCAAACCGGGACTGGCTCTCTCAGCACTAACTCTCTGCAAGAGAAACAGTAATCCTCTGAGCACTCTGTGTTTCCAGCAGGATCGTTTTTATTCAAATTGCCAAGTGCCTGTGATGCACCAAGAAAAACCCCACAATATATGAGTCCAGTACTGCAACAAAAATAATACATTGTGGTAATTAAAAAATAATAAATAAATAAAACAGCTCGATGACGTTTTTATTAATAATGCAAAATGTAAAAATTTGAGAATTTAATGATGACAATAATAAAGCATGTCCTTCTGAAACCAAGCTAAATAATAAAAAGGGCCAGCAATAAATTCATCTAAAACCTAGGACTTTTTCAAACTAAATTATTCAGACTCCGGTACCTTTCATTATATGATGTGTGTTTCTAGAATGAATGAGCTTTTAGACAGCTAAAGGCCCACTGACCTTTCTTTTTCAGATGGTTGGGTTCCTTCATCTTTAACTCAGCATTAAGGGGTGATTCAGGCAGTGGAGCCGAACTAAAAAAAAAAAACAAAACAAAAAAAACAGGAAAATAGGGGGACACAGTTACTGGAACTTAAGGGCAAAACATTTTCCACCATTATGAATTATTGGCCTCCAATTGTGGGCACCATGATATTGTTGACTCATGAAAAACCAGATGGATGGCTATAACAGGGTGAGTAAATATGGAAATGTCAGAGTCAGAGGGCACCACAGGCAGGAGGCCAACCGAAAAACAAGCCACACTTTTGTGTTTTACACGAATGCTGGTGAGGTCAGAAAATTAGTGTCTGAGAATAAAACAACAAAATTCTATAAGAGGTTTTGGTTTTGCTACACAGTATTTTTTTCCAAAATTAAAACATCATGGTAATTAAAAAATACGTTTACAAAAATAAGTCATTTAATTCTGATGTGTCTGAGTGCTTAATTGTGCCTTTTTGAGGAGGGTAACTAAAAAAACATCTGTTTTTATATGATGGAAAAATACTGGAGGATCACCAAATAGTTTTAATAAAAATCCAAGTTTACCTGGGGAACACTGAGAAGCCTTGACTGTCGTCGCCAACCTGCTGCAGCTTATTCAGGCAAATCTCCAGCAAGACCACACGGGGAGTAAACAACGAGCTGACTAAAACCACCATCTGAGACACAAAACATCAGAGTCAAAATCAGGGACATCTGTGTAGCAGTTTCATTTCTTAATTCCTTTAAAATACTCACAGAATTATCACACCCTGATAAAATGGACCACGACCCAGCCATGGTGATGCTCAGGTTAAGATTATCTAGAAGAAATAATGAAAATAAAAATTAAAAACTAACAAATATGCAGTATGAATGCTTAGTGCTGAAAGATTAAAAAATAGTTGAAAAAAGCTTAAATTAGCATAAAAAGCTAATAAATTAGCAAAACAATAACAGAAAAGGTCCAAGTGCTGCACTATCTTGCTGATTTTAAT